ACTCGATTAATTCTGTGTTTCACGGAAACAAGGAGCCGGGTGAAGGGGTTAGGCGGTCAAAAGGCAGGAAGGGAGGGGGGGAAAGGCACACGGGTTTGCCCCCCCGGCGCCGCGGCCTCTCGGCGGCTCCCGGCCCCGACTGTGGCGGGGCTCCCCCTCCTGCCACCTCCCTCCTTCCAGCGCACCCGCAGCCGGTCCCGGGCCGCTGGCCCCTCAGCCGGCCTGGCCACCCCCGGGCCTGCAGGGCAGCGCCTGGTCCCCCGCCTGCCGCCGTGCCGTAGTCGCCCTTCCCCGGCGGCTGGACAACAGGAGGTAACCCCCTTCCCCCTGTTTACCGCCCCTTTGGCTGCCCTTGGGCCCCCGGGGCCTGTGCGGGGCCTCCCCTCACCCTCCTCCTCCGTCAGCCCGGAGTCAAGGGCAGCGGCCGGGGCGGCAGGTGGCTGGTCATTGTGGGAATTGTCCTGAAAGTAACCCAAATGTTAACTCCTTGAGCCCAGAGTTTCAAAGCTGGGTTGTGCTTCCACTTCTTTTCTGTGTGTGGGTTCATCTCCCTGCCTGCGTGCCAAGCTGTGCCTCGCGGCCGACACGCTGGAGGGAAGGGATGCCATCCAGAGGGGCCTGGACGGGCTGGAGAGGTGGGATTGTGCAAACTGCATGAAGTTCAACCAAGCCAAGTGCAGGGTCCTGCACCTGGGACAGGGCAACCCCAGGCACAAGTACAGGTTGGGCAGAGAATGGCTGGAGAGCAGACCTGAGGAGAAGGACTTGGAGGTGTTGGTGGATGAGAGACTCAACATAGGCTGGCAGTGCACACTGGCAGCCCAGAAAGCCAACCCCATCCTGGGCTGCATCAAGAAAAGCGTGGCCGGAATTGTCCTGAAAGTAACCCAAATGTTAACTCCTTGAGCCCAGAGTTTCAAAGCTGGGTTGTGCTTCCACTTCTTTTCTGTGTGTGGGTTCATCTCCCTGCCTGCGTGCCAAGCTGTGCCTCGCGGCCGACACGCTGGAGGGAAGGGATGCCATCCAGAGGGGCCTGGACGGGCTGGAGAGGTGGGATTGTGCAAACTGCATGAAGTTCAACCAAGCCAAGTGCAGGGTCCTGCACCTGGGACAGGGCAACCCCAGGCACAAGTACAGGTTGGGCAGAGAATGGCTGGAGAGCAGACCTGAGGAGAAGGACTTGGAGGTGTTGGTGGATGAGAGACTCAACATAGGCTGGCAGTGCACACTGGCAGCCCAGAAAGCCAACCCCATCCTGGGCTGCATCAAGAAAAGCGTGGCCAGCAGGTTGAGGGAGGGGATTCTGCCCCTCTGCTCTGCGCTTGTGAGACCCCACCTGGAGTGCTGTGTCCAGCTTTGGAGTCCTCAGCACAGGAAGGACATGGACCTGTTGGAACAGGTCCAGCGGAGGGCCACAAAGATGATCAGAGGGATGGAGCACCTCTGCTATGAGGACAGGCTGAGAGAGCTGGGGTTGTTCAGCCTGGAGAAGAGAAGGCTCCGGGGAGACCTTAGAGCAGCCTCCCAATATCTGAAGGGAGCTACAGGAGAGCTGGGGAGGGACTCTTTGTCAGGGAGTGCAGTGACAGGACAAGGGGTAATGGTTTTAAATGGGAAGAGGGGAGATTTAGATTAGATACCAGAAAGAAATTCTTTGCTGTGAGGGTGATGAGGCACTGGAACAGGTTGCCCAGAGAAGCTGTGGCTGCCCCATCCCTGGAGGGGTTCAAGACCAGGCTGGATGGGGCTTTGAGCAACCTGGTCTGGTGGGAGGTGTCCCTGCCCAGGGCAGGGGGGTTGGAACTGGATGATCTTCAAGGTCCCTTCCAACTCTGACCATTCTATGGTTCTATGATTCTATGGGGAAAGGCTTCAGACCAGGGTCCGTAGGGACAGGACGAGGGACAGCAGTTTTACACTGAAAGAGGGTATGTTTACAGCAGATATAAGGTAGAAATTCTTTACTCTGGGGGAGGCGAGACACTGGAACAGGTTGCCCTGGGAAGATGTGGGTGCCTGTTGTGGTTTAGGCTGAATTGGCCAATTATGAGATGATGCTCCATCATTGGAAGTGTTCCAGGTCAGGTTGGAGGGGGCTTTGAGTTACCTGGTCTAGTAAAAGATGTCCCTGCCCACGGCTGGGGGTTGGAACCAGATGGTCTTTGAAGGACCCTTCCAATCCAAACTGTTCTGTGATTCTATGATCTTTGTCTTCTTTAAAAAAAAAATAACCAGAGAAGGTGTTTGCAGGACTAGGCAAAGAAAGGTTAGATTTTTTCTGATGACTGAGCAACAAGATCCAAATTTTGTGCTGATACTAAGAATTACCTGGTATATAGCAGAGTGTGAATCAAGTCCCTTCTCTGAATTGCCCATGCCCCAAATCGTGTCCCATTCCAGATCAATATCCAATCCTTAAACTGCCTGGGCTGTCTCTTGTTCTCCTTTTTAATCTGCACAAACACAAACTTAGTCCTGTTTTTAAGAGATTGAGTATAAATGAAATGAAGTTTCATGCATGAGAGTTACTCATCTCTTGCTACCACCAGTCATTTCACTGCTGACTGAGTAGCTGGTTTGAAGATGGCAAACCATCTTCAAAACGAACGAAATGAAGTATTTATTCACCCAAGTTATATGAATGCTCTCAGAGAGCATTGTGCTGCTGAAGTTTTGCAGGTGTTCAAAAGCAGTTGAGCAAAATCCTTCAGGGTGCATGAAAGAAAAAGTTGTATTTGTCAAATCAAATGCTTGAACCATGGGCTACTAGAGGCTGGGGAAAGTGTTGAGGGAAGTATCATTTTATGTTGTCATAGTCTTTCATTTCCCTAGACACTGTCACTGCCAGCTGTCTGAGGCATAGTGCTAGGCTGATGGACCCTTGGTTTGAGGTGGCAGTCATTTCTTAAGTAATTCCAGCTCCTAAATTCTGTGCCTTTAAGCTGTCTCCCAGATGCTGCCTCCTGATGTACACGTGTGTGTGTGTGGTTAGGAGGCTGATTTTTGGTCTAGTGGTGTTGCTTTTTAATACTGCTTCATTACTCTGAAAACCTGGGCAGCAAATACCATGTGTTCATGGATGTAGTTGCAGTAGCTCAGCAGCCACTTTGCTACTGCATAATGAATGTGCTAGAATCCATTTCCAGTGATATTGGCAGACAGGAGCATGTTTTGTTTCAACATTTCTTGGTTTATTTGTGATTTTTACCCACTATAATTAGGACACAGTAATCTGTTTAAGGGTTAATTACAGATGTAAAAGAAATATCATTATAATGGCATAGTTCTTACATGCATTTTATGTAACAGTGTTACAGCTCTTGGTGATATGTTCCTTCTAGTTCTTCTAAGGGCTCTATGGGCCTAATCCTTCCCAGGGGATAGCTGGCTTCTCTGCATCTTTTTCTGTGAAGCCCTGCAATTTATTCCATACTGAGGATGGGTGTTTAGGCGACTGTCTCTCTGTTGACCACCTTCTAGGTTTTGCCAAGAGGAGCTGTTGGGTTCTCACTGGAAAATGTGAACAGTGTCAAAATGCAGTGGCGAAGACCAGGAACAAAAAAGGAAAACCTATATATTTAACAAAAAGAACTTAAGAAACTGAAAGAAAGTAACAGAGGAATATGCAGACATATTGTGCTCAGGATGCTGGTTGCTCAGGACAAAATCTCTTGGGAACTAGACAGAGGGGAACTGAATTTGTGTGATATGTGCTGCACCTAACTTGCAGTCTCACAGTTCATCTGTCAACCCTGAAGTTCTGGGAGAGGCTGTGGCCAAGCTACTGAGTTATGCTGCAGATAATTACTGATTTTGGGAGCCCAAAGGGTTCCTGCTCAGGGAAATTATGTCTTTGAAGAAGAGGAAGACGATAGAATTCAGCCCAAATGTGTGACATCTAATTTCTGATATTTGACCAAGATATGAAAATCAGGAGCTAGCTTACCCTTTATTATGTCTGGCATCATTGTCGGGAGAGAGAATTTTAGTACTTGAATTGCTTTATGGAAGTTCTTATGACCTTGTATTATATTAACTACACAGAGTTTCTGGGCCTGGAAAATCTGCCAAAGAAACCAAAGGGGAAAACTGTACTGTAGCCTACTTAGAGCATCTAACCAGCCTTCAGGATCTTTCCTGAGCATCTGGTTTGAGAACGGAGGGCTGACCAGGCCAGTAACTGCATGAAACTGTGAAAATGAAATTTCCATTTAGATTTAAGAATTAGATTTTAGAGTTGGGAATGATAAGGTCTAATTTGGCAGGAAGGGGAGGCAGAGGGGAAAGGCTATTATTAGATATACCTAACCCTAAATAGAAGAAGTACTAGCAAATTACTGGACCTTCAACTGGCTGAAGAAGATTGATGCATAATCCTGTGGTCATTTCATTGTTATAAGGAGAAGCTCTTTTTTTTCCCTTTATTTATTTTCATATAATGCTACCCCCTCTTAGCCTTTGTCCCTTTGGAAATTTTAAGTAACAAAAACTGCAGGCATGAACCGAAAATCACACTAGAACTTCCATTTTCAAGAAAAATCTAGATATTAAATAGGCAAATGAATCGTTCTTAAGTCAGAAGACCTGCCATCTTGAGAGGCAAAGATCATGAGGCAGAACAGAGGCTTGGAGCAATGATGAGAATTTTAATTTCACTGCTAGATCATCTGTTCTGATTCTTACCTCGTTTGGAGGTGAATGGTGGGCTTGCAGAAGCAGAAGAACAGGTAGTGAGCCTTTCAACCTCTGTGGGCTTAGGCTGACCAAAAGATCAGTCACAGTCCTATCAGCTTTAGGCCACAATTTTAAATCTTACATTAGGATGGGAAAGTAAATTGGGGACCTTAGTGCCTCTAAATTACCACAGAAAAAAGTGAATACCACAGCGACACTTGAGAAGGGGATCCTTTCATCTGAAGCTTGCTTTTTCTGATCCACCAGCAGTTACTTGGAGTATGCTTACCTTCTGCAAGCTGAACTGCAGAATTAGCACCCGTGTTAATTTTAGCCCCTCAACACGTAGGACAAAGACCGAGTGGTTTGTGGTCAGAGCGCTGCTTAGTCCCAGAAAGACATCTTGAGGCCACTGGCCAGCTGCTGGTGTGGTGTGGGTGGTTGCTAGTTGTCCTATAGCTGTCTTGGAGATAAAGAGGAGGTTTTTGTTGATAAACTGCCAGTTTTATTAACTGCCTTTCAGCGTGCTTAATCCTACTTGCTTAAGGAGAAAGCGGAGGGAAGGAGAGAGGCATTTGAACAGGCAGTGTTTGAGGATGGGCACACAGTACAAGACTTATATCAGGGGAATTTTGTTTCTCACAGGACAAAACGTGACAATAAATGACTGCTGTCCCTTAGCTAAACAGGGGGAGGGGCTTGTGGATCAGGAAGGAAGATAATATAGTCTGAGGCCTGATCTCTGAACCATTAAAATATCTTCTCCAACCAGTCAGACGGGGAGCAGAGCAGAGGGGTTGACTGGGGGAACTAAAAGCAGCAGCGGTTCTGCTTTTGCCTGTGCATACCTTGAATGTTAACCCTTTGCCTTTCCCACTCTTTCTTCTGCAGTTGAGGGCGGTAGGAACTGTGGGAGAAGGAGCAAAAGGAGGAAGATTGTCAATCTATTTTTAAACAGGAATCTGAAGCTGCCCTTGGGGAAGGTGCCTGTGGAAAGTAATACGTTTCAGTAAAGATCTTGTTTAAATGAGGAACTGACCTTTTCGTTTCAGCCACTCTTTAATGGGGAATGAGGTGTAGGACAGATCCTCTGCTCCCTCAGGAGAAAATACTGCGGAGAGTCAACGCAAGTTAGTACCAGAATAAGAGGAAAACTGAAACCAGAGTCTGAGCCTACACTCTGCAGCTGTAGTGATCTCCCTAATTTGAGAAAATTTTCAGTGTAGAAGCTGTCTCTCCTGGTTTCTCAGAGGATGAAGGTCCGCATCACAGAGCTATTTCACTGGTACTATTCTGTCCACTTGTGCCAGTCTCTGTAGGGAGATCAAGCAATGAAGGAAACTCCTCCTAGTTTTCACCATTTTGCACACATGGATGATAAATGCCAGCTGGAAAAATAATCCCAGAGAGAAGGTTAGGATGTTATGATTTGGGCAACCTGGTCTAGTTGGGGGTGTCGAGGTTAGGCTGTTCAGGTGTACAAATACAGTGATATGCAGCCTCTCTTATGGATAAATTAACTATTGTGTTTCGGTATCTAAAGCTATTGCTGTTACTGCAACCAAAATTCTCCCACAACAAAAATTATATACGCAGCACCGAAGTGTTAACAGGAGGAGGTAAGTTTTGCTCAAACAGTTGGCTGAGATCGTATCATCTTCTGCATCTTCCCAAAGCCACCTGCAGCGTGTTGTTGAGTGGGAATTTTGTCTCTCGACGATAGGTCTCACGTTGTTTCCTCTTGTAATACAACTGCCTCTCGCTTGCATGAAGTAGGTAAGCAAATAATCTTGCACAGACTCATATAACCAGGAGTCGGGAGTATGAAACTCTTAACACAAGCTTTTTCAGTGATAGGGGAGGGCAGGCTAACAGCTGGGACTTGTGTAAACGCTTCGGGTGGGAAGACAGTCCCCAAAACTAAAATGCTGAGGAACTGAGGTGCAATGAAGATTATGCCACTCAGCTGCTTAAAACTGAGGGCACCAGCAGAGCTCAATGGTGACCCCAAGGGCATCGTAGCAGGAAAAGGTCACAGGGCAAGTTCAAGAATATTATCTGGTCTGACTGGGGAGCTCAGGATGGATTTTGAAGGGGTTTTGTAAGTGAGGGGTCATTGCCAGGGCTCTGTGGGAACTCCAGGCTGGAGTGGTGCGAGGACAGGGCAGGGGAAAGCTGATGGCAGGGCTGGAAAATGCTGGCAGAATGCACAGACAGCCTGAGCAGGAGGGGTACGAACGAGCAAGACAGAATGTTTTGGTATTATTAATCCTTTCTCTCTTTCTTCATTTGCAGATTGTGTTCCTGGGAGAAAGTATTTTCAGCGTCTGGAGTCTTTTGTACAGATTTTCTCTTCCAAGAACCCATTTTTTTTTTCGAAACGCGAACCTGTAATCTGAAGCGTATGGTTTCGGTTCGTTACAGTAGCCTGTCCCTCTTGATCTGTGTTTTTTGGCCTGCCTTTCAAACTCTGCTCCAGGTCCCTGCCCGAGGACTCTTTGCTTTGCCTGTCTTTGTCATCAGCAAGCGAGCAGCTGGTGCGTGGAAGCCAGGCAGACTCGTTCTACAAGTGTGTGTGTGCCTGCCTGTCAGCTCGCGTGTGTCCAACGCACACCCCAGCGAGCTCCCCGGCCGAGACAGCTGAGAAGACCTTGAGGAGGAAAGAGTCGAAGCTGGGCAGGTCTGGGGTAGGAAAATCAGCCAGGAGGAACTTAAGTCATAAAGAATTGCAACCAGCGCAAAGTAACCATCAGCCTTATCAGGAGTGGCCTCAAACAAACTGGGAACCGGCAGCAGGTGAGCGTCAGGAAAAGACTACCGCAGGGCAAGAGAAGTGGTGTAACTCAGGTAAGTGAGAGAAAACACTGCTGGAAGATTAGCTAATGAATATTTATTATTTTTAAAAGGCTTCTGTTGACATAAGTGTGACCTGAACTAGGATACAGCTGTACCATATAATCTATACATCAGTGCATGTACTTAACTGCTTGTATTGAAGTGACTTAACAGTGACAGATTTCTGTGATCATAATGGTATTGGGGTTTGAGAAAAAAGAAAAAAAAAAATGGAGGTATGTCCTCTACGTGCAGGTTGATTTAAATGAAATACCTTCTAGGCACATTTTAAGCAGGAAGAAAATAACAAAGTAACTAAGTTGCATATAAGTTAGTCTCGGTTCACTGAAACAATACAGGGCAATGCTATGCATGTGTGTGTAACTATGTTCAGTGATTGTTTAAATAATACACGCCTAGGGCTGGATTCTGAACTAATTAGCTTTTGATTTCCATCACTGTTGCTTGATTGTAAGGAAGCTAACTCACATCCAAAATGGTGCTGATATCTCGATTTTTCTATGTGTTTACCTGTTTGCAGGTATCTTTGTGTGTGTGTATACATGAGCTACTGGTTAAAATATAAGCAAAATCTATGTCAAATGCACCAGGAAATATCCAAAAGTTGGGAAATTGTGAAGCTAAATTTGTGTACACAGCTTCAGCTCTTTCCTTGTGGCTGTGCATTTACGAAAGCAGAGTCACCTTCCGTTTCTTAAGCCATTATGCAGCAACGTGATACCGTGCAGCATTTTTATGGCACAGTGTTTTTTAGAACAAGAGCTACATGTGTGCATGGTTCTTTGAAAAACTCCTTCATTCTTTTTATGTCCTGTCACAGCTTTTGCTGTCACAGTTTTTCAGAATATCTATATCATGTTTGTGCTGGGGTTTGATACTGGCTTAGTACCGGCAGTTGCCACCAAAATCTGAAGTCAGTCAGTAAGAAAGAGACAGAATGGCTGGTGTTTTCAAAAGTAACCTGTGATTTTAACTACACAAAAGGAGGTCATAAGTAAGAGTGTGCTGTTGAGAGTCTGACCTCTAGACTTTTCATATTCCAAGCAGCCTGCTCACTAGGGGCTTCAGGTTAATATATTCCTCACTTTTTAAAAAGGTAATTTTAACTTCTGTTTTGCAGATTACCTGTGAGGAATTACTTTTCATGGCCTTAATTCAGGAGGAGTGTGATCAAGATATATGTTAACTTTTCAGAAACTATAGTCAGCCGTGTCTGTATTAGAAAAAAAAATCTTTTTGTCTTAATAGTTATTCAGTTTCTGGACCGTTTCACACTTCTGTACTCAGGATTCCTCACACTGCACAAATACATTAATTTTTGTGAGACGTTCTGAGTTTAAGCAAAGCTTAGCACCATGAGAACTTGCATATCTCCACTGATACAGTACCAGTTTGGACTAACCTTGTTAGCATAAACGCACAGCAGTGCAGAGTCCTCGTGACGCATATTTCTCAATTGCTGACTTTGCCTCTTTTTTCTGCTCCCTTGAAAAGGAGCCAAGTTTGCCCTAATTCACCTGCTCAAATAGCAAGCATGGACCTCATCATTTGCTCTTCTCACCGTGGTCTAGCTCTTTGGAGGTGGTCAGCCTAATTGTGTCTCACTTCTCTAAGACGTTTCAGTAGCAGCTAGCCTAGGTTTGGTGTTCAGGTATTGCTTCTAATTTTGGACTGAAAGAAAATCTTGAGTCACTGCACGTGATTTTTTGAAACACTTTGTTTTCTTACAGGGTGTTAACAGCTACTGGCTCTTGCAAAAGTGAGTTAAGAGTACCAAGTGTTTATAGATGAGACATTATTACAGGCAGTACAGCAAGCCGCAGGATATGGTCGGTAATCTGTGTTCAGGACAGAAGTGAGGTGGCTCTGGCATGGTATAATCTGGGTTCACTAGTCAGAATTTCCCATTCTACACAGCAAGAGCTGCTGCTTGGTAACCCACAGGTGCCTTATGGTGAGAGGTGAGATGACTCGATGGGACGAGGAAACCTTGCAAAGATGTCACAGTCTGCCAGGCTGTATGAAATAGTCACTAAGGTCCTTTGAAGGCAGAATCACAGAATCATAGAATCATTCAGGTTGGAAGAGACCCTTGGGATCATCGAGTCCAACCATCTACCCTACTCTACAAAGTCCTCCCCTACACCATGTCCCTCAGCACTGCATCTAAACATCCCTTAAACACATCCAGGGATGGTGACTCCACCCCCTCCCTGGGCAGCCTGTTCCAATGCCCGACCACTCTCTCTGTGAAAAATTCCTTCCTAATGTTCAATCTAAACCTACCCTGTTGGAGCTTGAAGCCATTCCCTCTCTCGAAGAGACTGGATATGTAATCTAACAAATATATTGCTTTTTGCAGAAGTGTGTTCTCATCTCCTCAAGTTGTTAGGCTTGAGTCCTGCGCGACTTGTTTCTTAGTTGTTTTGGACACTGCTTTTAGTGAAATGGTGGACATTACAGGGAAGAAATCTCTGTTGCTTCTCCCTGGTCCTCTTCTTCTCTCACATTCAAAGTCCACAGCTGCTGGGCTCTCCTGAGCCCACAGATGATGGTTTCACTGCCATTTTGCTCCCTGTCATTCCCTCGTAGCTCCCCTCCCTTTACAGCTGCCCAGCCAGGGCAGTGCGCTTGTGCACAGCGGTTGCCCAAACCATGACTGGCCTTGTTCAAAGGTCATATAAGAGGAGGAAAATAATAAAAGGAGTACAGAAATCGTGACTGGAAAAGCTTGAGAGTATGGTTCTGTCACTGTAAGAGATTAAATAGAAGATATCATGGTTAAAGGACATATTTTATCTTTTATCAGTCAGGCAGTATGCTGGACTCAGCTGTTCTTTACACGCCTGTAGTCACATTACAGTTGGTCCTCACAGTCAGTCCATGAAAAACACCTGCATGGATATTTTTATAATGAAGTGGTGTGCAGTTAATGCAGGCCAGGAAGTTCGGGGGAATAACTACATTAATTCCGTATTAGTTCAGAGCACAGTTTAAAAGGTCTAATGACAATCCAAGTGAATCTTAGCCTTTATTTTTATCATACTTAATTAATTTAATCAGCTGTTTCTTTAGACAGAATAGCTAATCAAGGATTTACACATTTGCACTGGTGATGGGAACTGATGTTAGTGCCCACGTCAGACATATTCACTGGCAAAACTGTGTATTTACTGTGAGTATGTACAACTTATTTTCCTGAACATGGCAGGAGCAAACAGCAGGCTTCTTGAGTCTTATGCCCTGGCACTTTAAATTGCATAAATCGAGCCTGATGAAAAATTTAAGTCTGTAAAATGTGAGAGAGGGTTGATTATTTTAGGGCAGATCATCTTCCCCATCCAGTTTTACCCCATTGCCATGTGAATGCTTGGGCTAAAGCTAAGGGGACGGTGTACATGTGGGAGTGAATGATGGGGGACTGATAAAATCATAGTGCTGAGCCTATAGGAATGGTTTCACAATACCCCTTTGGACACCCTGGGTGGCAGGAGATCCTTTTCAATCTGTTCCTACTTCTGGATGTGTGCTCCTGCCACTTCCTTGAGCCTGTGTTGGCAATTCTTGAATTGCCTGATGATCTAATGCCACTCACTAAAATGGCAGGAAATTACCACAGCAAAAGAACAAGTTGGGTTTTTTCCAGCTAGGTTAATGGTTTTGAGTCAGTTTACCAGGGATCAATGGCACAGCCAGGAGCAAAACAAGGAGGGGGAAGGGAGCAGAGAGAAGAGATCTTCCCTTCTTTTGGCATTGGTGAGCACTTACTTTAGCTCAGCTGCATTTCCAAAACCATGTTCACGTTCAGTATTGGGGCTTCCTGTACTGGTTTCAGCAGCCCCCACAACTGCCATCTTTTAGCTGCCTATTCCTGTCCCTGTGTTGCCCTCTGGGCTTGGCCTAAATTGCCAGGGCAGCAAAAACAGCTTGGCAAACAAACATGGCTGAGAACAAAACACCACCTTTTCCCCCAGTGTTCATTCATCCTGTTGGTAAGCAGACGTGAAGAAGTGAGTGTCAGTGTAGGGCAGATGTGGGGGCTAATTAACCTAATTGCTGTGCCCTGCACACTTCACCAGGCGGTCTGGTAGGAGCAGTTTGCAGATGCTGTTGACTGTAGGTTAGTTTCTGCTAAGGTTGGATCTCTCGTTGTCTAAAATCAGTCACTTCTGCTGTTCCCAGATACCATGATCTTTGCTGGACCATGATCTTTAGCTTGGACGTGGGACTTTGGATTCAGGTGTAAGTTTCCAAGAAAGGCTGTGCTGCCATCGTTGCTGCAGTCTGCTTGGAATTGTGTGATATCTGAGCGTTGTTAATAATCCACTGAGCATTGCCCTCTAGGCCAGTGTGCCTGCCTTGATTCATATTCATTTCCCTCTGCCCCGGCAAAAGCTCCTGCATCTCTCCAGATCTGTTTAGTTGGAAACCCTGTTCTCTCCTGAGCTCTAGTCAGGGGAACAAGATACCTTTTCAAAATTCATTTACAAAGGCCTTCACAGCCCCTTGTCGCTCCCATTCAGTCCACTGTGTTAAGAGCTTTGTTCTAGAAAAGCTCATTTGCTTTCTGATCACGGTTTTCAAAGTCTTTCAGGAAGGCTTGAGTTTGAAACTGAGCACCCCTTACCTTGAGCCTTGTGGTTGTGAAAGAAAAGCGGCCTAGTACTATCCTGTTTGATTTTTGTATTGTACTGCCAACTAGTTTTTTTTTTAAATTATGGTGTTAAGTCACATTGATGTCCTGCAGAACAGAGGACCTGCTGAAAAAAAGCTGCGTGTCCAAGAGAAAAAAGAAAGTTCCAGGTTTTGTGTAAATTAAGATAATGAGTTTCAACTGACGGAGGAGGAAATCAGAATAATTTGAAAGATTAGATAGGCCCAGGGAAGGAGAGCAGTCAGTTGAAGCAAATATGGGTTTGAAAGTAAGCAATAAAGGGAAATTAATTCCAGTGGGTGGATTTCAGCGTATGTAAAAGAGTAATAAAAAACCAGTGGGATCACTAAGCTGACATTTACTTGCAATTGCACAAATTGTCCAATGCAAATTCTAAATTTAAGTAATACAGGCTACGTTCTGCTGGGCTCATGATCTAGACAGCACTGGTCTCAGTGAAACACAACACAGAGACAAGGAAAATCAGAATGTGGTGAGGTACAGGTTTTGAACCTCTTAAGGACTTTTGTCCCCCTTATCCTGCTTGGTACTGGAATATTATCTTCATGTAATTAAGCAAGTAGTTGAGCAGTGCCAATATGCTTTCTGCTATGTGGTGGGTACACACCTGTACACTGAAGGTGTTAGTTCCACATAACCTCCATGTGTCCCCTACTGGTACACTGCAAAAAATACTTATTAAATGTATCATGTGAGATCTCTGTACTTCTGAGTTGGTTGTGAAGATGGAAATGCAGGATGTGCAGTAACGTGCACCTGTACACTGAAGGTGTTAGTTCCATATAACCTCCATGTCTCCCCTACTGGTACACTGCAAAAAATATTTATTAAATGTATCATGTGAGATCTCTGTACTTCTGAGTTGGTTGTGAAGATGGAAATGCAGGATGTGCAGTAACGTTACTGTTAGAAAAGTGTGTTGCCGACAGGGCGAAGTAGGAGAATTCATTTGGTCTCAGCCTGGAAAGCAGCACTGAAAGGCACTAAATAATCACCTTGTTAACTGCAACTTCTTTTCCTGCTTCCTGAGCTTGGCAAGAGGGTAAACACAGGGAGAGTAAATGGGCTTGTCTCATCAAACTTTTCCAGTGGTAACACCTGTGTGGCTCCATGAGCAGCAGCACCCCGTGGGAGTGCCAGGGCAAATAAAGCGCCAGGGACTGCCAATGTTTTCATTTCTGGATCCCACAGTTCTGCCCTGAGTATGGTTAGAAAACATGGATGCCACCCACTGGCATCACTGGTGGGAGGTGCATAGAGGAGTAGGTAGGGGACAGGGCATGGTTTCCGTGTCAAAGTGTTTTTCCATGGACCTTTGTGACTGTATGAGCGTGTTTCTGTGTAAGTACATGAGCCAGCAGTGTGCCCAGGTGGCCAAGAAAACCAACAGCATCCTGGCCTGTGTCAGGAACAGCGTGGCGAGTAGGGCCCGAGAGGTGATTGTCCCCCTGTACTCGGCACTGGTGAGGCCTCACCTTGAGTACTGTGTCCAGTTTTGGGTCCCCTACCATAAAAAAGACATTGAGGTGCTGGAGCGGGTCCAGAGAAGGGCAACAAAGATGGTGAGGGGACTAATCTAAATCTCCCCTGCCCCAACTTCAGACCATTTCCTCTGGTCTTGTCGTTCGTCCTTTGGGAGAAGAGGCCAACCCCCACCTCTCTACACCCTCCTTTCAGGGAGTTGTAGAGGGCAGTGAGATCTCCCCTCAGCCTCCTCTTCTCCCAACTAAACATGCCCAGTTCCCTCAGCCTCTCCTCATAGGACTTGTTCTCCAGACCCCTCACCAGCTTGGTGGCTCTCCTCTGGACACACTCCAGCACCTCAATGTCTTTCCTGTAGTGAGGGGTCCAAAACTGAACACAGCCCTCGAGGTGAGGCCTCACCAGTGCCGAGTACAGAGGCACCATCACTGCCCTACTTCTGCTGGCCACGCTATTCTTGATACGAGCCAGGATGCCATTGGCCTTCTTGGCCACCTGGGCACACTGCTGGCTCATGTTAAGCCGGCTGTCTACCAACACCCCCAATTGGTTGATTTCTGTTTCTGTGTAAGTACAAGCTGGTATGAGTGTGCTTATATGGCCCTGGGCATGCACATTGTTTAAACATTAAGTGTGGATTCCTGGTGAGCATCTATACAAAGCAAAGCCATTTAACTGGTGTTAAGACAGAGTTTCGACTGTTTATGACTCAGTTTATAGGTATAGGATTGCTGGCTAATGGTCCTAAAGTCTGTTTGCCTGTCGTGCTGTCGTGTCTGTTTATATGTGCCTCTCATACCTGTGTGTATCTGAGAGTGAAAGAAGCTGGGACTGTTCCTCTTATGGTGACACCTGTGTGTTTGTCTGTAAGTGTGTGTATGTGTAATGGACAAGGTAGGTTGACCTAGTGCTCTGACTTTCAGAGTGTGCCTCAAAGGCTTGGTGTTACTGCTGTGTTATTGCTGTATTACTGCTCCTTTGACTGGATTCATGTAGCCACACCCTGAAACTAGGTGAATTTGCTAGCATTTTAAGAATCAAAGGAAATAAAAACCAAAACAGACTTTTTGTGATGCCTTAAAGTGCAGATATATTCTGTTTTCCTTTTTCTGCTGCTTCTGTTGGGCAACTGATATACTGCAATTTCACCCGTTAATTTTAAGCATGAGAACAACCTGTTTAATGTGTCATCTGTCACCAACTTCCATAAAACCATATTAATATCAGTAAGAAGGCCATATATTATTAGTAACATTTGCCATTGAGGTTAATTGACTCAAACTCATAGTTGAAAAGAAAGTAAGTACTTACTGGATAAAAGTCCCAATGCCTGTAAAACGTCCTGGGTGATACTGTTTGTGAAGCTGTTAAGTCTTAAATTTTTGACAATGTTTATAGGAAACACTGGCTAAAAATACATGCCTTCCTTGCCTTCCTGTCAGTCATCACTACTCACCACATTGATTTTTGCAATTTAGAAATAATAGTCCAGGTCCTCTGCTGCTGTAAATCAATGCAGCACCGCAGAGCCTATCCCTATCTTATGACTGCAGTGCTCAGTAAGGATAGCACACTTAGTGGAAGCGGTGCAGCATCTTCTGAAGTGCTTATGTGTTCTCCAGAGAATAAACTAAACCACAGGCACCAATTTGAAGTGAAATACAAATTTCTACAGGGGTAATCTCCCCCTGTAGTGCAGAACAGCTGAAATTCTGCATCAGGGATGTGTCTCGGGGGGGGCCTGCAGCTCATCTGCTGTCCTGGCACAACTCAAAGACGCTGGTGAATCTAGCCCTGTCTGAGCAGGATTGTACACGTGACAAACACTCTTACACAATCAGAAGGTTTTGTAGATGTGTGATTGCACGTGCTGAGGAAGGGATTAGTGCTGGTTGAAATAGCAGCTGAAAAGGTGCGTGCTTGCACAGGCTCTGAATTTTCAACGACAAATGCAAAAGGGTTCCAGGTGTTGTGCTTCAAATTAGTTATAGAACCTGGTGGTGTTAAGGAGTCAGGACCAGACAGCCCTAATGACAGGACTTTTTTTTTTTTTTCCTTGTTTTTCTGGAGCAATGGTACAGTTGTGGCAAGGGCTGTAGTCAAAAACAACAGACATTTTGTATGCATGCTGCTGATCTGTTCACTTGTTATGGACAAGAAGATCAAAGGCTGAGCCATTCTGGCATCTAAGAAGTGTATTAGTTAGAAGTGTATTAGCTGTATTAGCTACTCTTTAAATATAATTAAGGTAATTATGTATTTTTGTGCCTATCCCAGCCTTTAGGCCTAGGGATACCCAATTGCTGTAGAACAAGCCTAATCTTAAATTCTCTCTGGTCATGCAGTCTACCATTCATAGATAGTGGATGGTGTGTATTATACTTTAAGCCTCCAAGTCCCAATGCTGCTTCTTCACAAAACCACTGATCATAAGGGTTGAAAGCTCCATATGCAGCTCACTTGTTGCTTCATGAATCATCCTTTCTCCTAATAAATTTCATTAATATTCTTTATGTCTGTGCAGAAGATAGAGGTTGGAGATCCACTTGCTTGTAATTGAACATGGCAGGGGATATAAAACGATTCACACGCATGCTACTGGAATGCAACAGCAACGACAAGCTGTGTGGTAAGATTCACAGATTCCTTTAAGTAATAAGCTTTCATGTGCTGAGCAGGAAGTCCATCTTTACTAAAAAATGGGCCAAGCCCTTTCCCCTCTTCCACCTGCATCCCAGCCCACACGGAAGGATTTGACTGATCTTTCCCTGCATTGTGCCTCAAGGGAGAAACTTTTAAGGGGCTGCAGCCTTTGTGGTGGGATTAATCTCACATAATTTGAGCCCTTTTAGAGTGTTTCTACTTTGAAGGAGACATGATATAGTCTTTAAAGATTCTCTGCAGCTTCCCTAAGGACCACTCTTGTGAGATTGTGGTTTCATGTCTTTCTGTCATCTCTGGGAACTGAAATGTGGTCTTGGTCTATGCAAAAATAGCACCAACTCCAAATCTGGAGACATAAGAGAGTTAGTTACCTGCAACATCCTTGTTAATTGCAATGTCTTCCTGTCAAATTCCAAACTAGGTGACCATGCCCTGTTTCCTTTAAAATGCTCCCTATAATGTCATTGGAAGGAGCTGAAGCTGTAATTGCATGTGCATTTGTGATGGTATAGTAATAATCAGCCCTTTCTATCTCCCTGCTATTCCTCTGCCAGGGCCCGTTCTGTTTCACTGGTGGATGACACTTAGATGTGCTACAATTCCTAGCCTTTAGGGCATCTAAATAAGTGACCTTAGGTGTGGGAGTCCCAGTGGTTTCATGGAGTTCAGATACTCAGCACCTTTGAAAAATGGGTGGCAGCACTAACAGTGTTCAGTTCCAAGGAGCGAAGGATAGATATGCATGCTTTTGGGGTTGAAAGTTACTGAAATGGGTTATTACTGCTTTGTTACACAGAACCAACGTGCATCAGGCAGTGCTGCTTACTCCTTGGTTTCCCATTTTCTTTTTCTGCTGGTAGTTGTGCGTGAACATCAGATTGAAGTGATTGTTGTCCCAGTTTTCCTTGTGGGTTTTTTTGTCATCGTGCTAACTGTGATCCTTTGGCTCCACTGTCGAGGCTTGCGAGCAAAGGAGAAACGATTGTCATCATCGTCTGCTGGACAACAAGGTAAAAAAAAATGTCTTTCAAACAGAGGAAAGAGTGTTGGTTTCAGTGGCCAGAAGTCAGTTCCATTTCCCCATTGCTTGAGGTGTTAGCCAATAGCATTTATGAAGAACCTGCGTGGTATTCAGCAATCCAGTAAGCATTAGAAAAAATGAGAACCTTGATTTACCCCACGAGCAGTAGTAGTAGTGGAATCTGTAGTATAGGTGGATCTGAGAAAACCTAAAGCAACATACCATGTTGGTTCTTTAACGTGCCACTGAGGTAGCATCACTTGAAAGGTGCAAAGATTGTTTATGTTACAGCCTTCCAGAGGCTAATGTGGTAATTATGACAGTCATTTTGATGTAGATCACATCTAGTTAATCCATTTTCTAGATTGTCATTTAACAAATTTAATTTCAAGCTACCATCTCCCACTTCCCATTGGGATAACAGGAAATAGAACAGGGACTGGTGAGGGAGTGGGGAAAGGTTTGTTGGTACCACAAACACATGTTGCTGTGTGGAAATGAAAATCCAGTTCTGAACTGATTATGATTTCGTAGAGGAAAAAGCCTCTTCAGCCTATATTAAGGGAAATCATTGAAAACAAACGTAAGACCGTTGTAGGAACACCGTGTGTATGTCACGCTCATAACAACTGATACCTGGTAATAAAAGAAAATGGTGATTGCATCAGCACATGGGAATCAAGTGCAAATGCTTCTTATCTAGGAAAATTTACATAGTTAAACATAGTTTCTGCCTTTTCATCAAGTAAGTGTGGGAGATAAATTCCTTCATCTCTTGAAGGACCAGGATAAGTAAGATCAAATAACAGTTCCTTACTTTGTCCTGATTTCCATAGCAGTATGGAGCAAAAATCAAAAGGGGAGGATGGGCTTTGCCACCTACTACAAGAATTCATCTGTCTGTTTTTTTTTGCATCATGTGTATGTGCTTTTGTCAGGGAATGAGAAGAATCAGCAGGAATTCAGCTCAACAGAGAAACACTGTATCCAACTGAGTGAGACATCTGTGGAGAGCCTGCTAAATTCTGCATCCTTAACTCTGAAAGAACTGGAGATACCACGGGAGAAACTCTCCCTGGGCACCTTGCAGCTGATAAAACACGGACGCTATGGGAGCATCTACAGAGCACAGTTGGAAACTGGAAACCCTGAGAAGACTAAGACTGTAGTACTGAAAGCTTTACAAGGTAAGGCACATGGCCAGGATTCACTTTGGTACAGGTCTCTGTATCAAAGACATGATGCTGGGCAGAACTTTGCAATCATTCCGGGCAAGAGCAAGCTGTGTTCATTATCGTGTTAACTAGTCAGAGTGGTCTTTTGGTAGGAGTGTCTTGGTAGGACTATAAGTCCTACCAAGAAGGTTGCTCTTCATGTTAATTTTAAGCTACTCACCCTGTTCTTTGCTGCCTCCATTTGGGGTTTTCTGGGTGGCCAGGTTTTGGTGGGGAGGTTTTGTTTTGTTTTGTTTTTGTTGGGGAGGTTTTGTTTTGTTTTGGTTGTTCATTTGTTTTGTCATTGTTGTTGGGTTTTTTACTTATTTGTTTTGTTTTGGCTTTGGTTTTTTTGTTTGGGTTTTGGTTTTTTTTGTTCTTTCCAGACCTGAGTAGTTCTCAGAAAGTAAAGGATTTCCTGGGAAGGATTAAATTCCATCAAAATCTTGGCCATCATGAGAACCTGGTTGAATTGATTGGATGCTGTATAGGTCAGCTCCCACTTTATATGATCATGGAAGATGTGTCTCTTGGTGACCTGTTGACATTTCTATGGACGTGTCGGAAGGTCAGTCAAAAGAAGTGGTGTTAAATTCCTTAGGTACATATCTAGCCATACGTCATAGTCCATAAGTTATAGATGATCCTTTACATCTCTTCATGCATCTCTCTATATTAGTCTAAACTATCTTCATCCGCCAAAGAAGTTCTACACAAGTCTAAACTGGAATAGAATTGATGGATATCTCAATTGAGATGATATAGTTTGGAAGAAGTTGACATACTTTTGTAAGGCTAAGTCCTACTTGGCAGACCATTGGAGTTCCTTGAAGGGTACAGAAGGCACTGGAATACAAGAGAGAGTTGATACAGCTACCTGAATAGTTTTAAAAGTCTCACTCCAAATGCTTTTAAGAAAGGAGAGTGGTTATAACACCAGGGAGAAAATCACAGAGTCATAGAATCGTCTAGGTTGGAAGGGACCTTTAAGATCTTTGAGTCCAACCATCAGCCTCTAACTGCCAAAACCAGCACTAAACCACGTCCCTAAGCACCATGTCTACCCGTCTTTTAAATACTTCCAGGGGATCCAACCACTTCCCTGGGCAGCCTGTTCCAGTGCTTGATAACCTTTTCGGTGAAAAAAAAATTCCTAATATCCAATCTAAACCTTCCTCCTCAATGGCATAACTGGAGGCCATTTCCTCTTGTCCTCTTCCTCAATGGCATAACTTGAGGCCATTTCCTCTTGTCCTATTGCCTGTTACCTGGGAGAAGAGCCCGACCTGCACCTCGCTACAACCTCCTTTCAAGTAGTTGTAGAGAGCAATAAGGTCTCCCCTCAGCCTCCTCTTCTCCAGGCTAAACAACCCTAGTTCCTTCAGCCACTCCTCATAAGACTTGTTCTCCAGACCCTTCATCAGCTTTGTTGCCCTTCTCTGGACTCATTCCAGAATTTCAATATCTTTCTTGCAGTGAGGGGCCCAAACCTGAACATTAAATGTTAACTAATTGATTAAAAGACAGGAGACAAAGCATAAGAGTGAAAGGTTGGTAGTTGCACTGGAGGGAGGTGTAGGACCCATGTAGGACCTGGTGCTTTTCATTGCATGTATCAATAACCTGGAAAATGGGATGACAGTGAGGTGATGATGATTGCTGATGATTCCAGCCAGTAAAGGCAAGGGCTGACCTTGAGAAGGATTGAGAGACAACGGGATGGAGATTGTTCTTCATTAAGTAGGACCTTGACAAATTGAATTCCTTGCCACTGACTGCTGTGGATGCTGAAACTTTACATGGGTTAAAGACAGGACTGAATACAGAAGATAATCTTTCAAAGGTTACTGAACATGTTGAAACCACAACCATCTCAGGAAGAAGTTCCTTAAATTGAAAATAGTTGGGGGTTGGAAAACAAAACAGAAAGTCTTAGTGTACTTACCTTACCCAGCACACCATCCATCCATCATCACCCATCCATATGCTCTTATATTTCAGTCAGTTTATGACCAATTGTGAAATTAGCGGTGGGAGCATAAGATTAGATAGTACTCATTTTATTAGATTAGAAGGAAACATTCCCCAGTACTCTACAGCTGTGGCATTTGTTTGAAGCAAGGTCTGCTCTTTTGGCTCTAGGATGTAATGACAATGGATGGTATCCCTTATGATCTCACCGAGAGGCAAGTATATAAAGTTGGACAGCAGGTTGCTGCAGCTCTGGTAAGTCTGCTCACATTCACTGGGGCTAAACACTGAGGATGTGCTTTGTTAAAACTGAGCAAAATATGCTAGCACTATTTGGGTGAGCATACACCTCTATCCCACAGTGTGAAAGACAGGCATAAACTAAGTGAAAATGTATATCAATTAAAATTCCTCTTGAAAATGATCACGATCTCTTTCTTTTCTAACTTTCCAGGCCTATCTTGAACAGAAGAAGTTGTTCCATGGAGACATTGCTGCCAGGAATGTCCTCCTTCATCACAATTTCACTGCTAAGCTCTGTGGTTTGGGTCTGGCCTATGAAGCTCACACGTACGGTGTCAGCTCAGTCACACAGATTGTGCCAGTCAAGTGGCAGGCACCAGAGAGGCTCCTGCAGAAACCTCCTGGCATCAAGGCAGACATGTATGATTTAATTTTTGGACTCCAAGTTCATCTGTCAGGCCTATATCTTTCGTTCCTTTATAGAATCATAGAATCGTCTAGGTTGGAAGGGACCTTAAAGATCATCTAGTCCCAACCATCAACCTAACCCTGACAAAAAATAAATAAGAAATAAGCAATAAAAAAATCACTAAACCATATTCTTGAGGACCATGTCAACCCATCTTTTGAACACCTCCAGGGATGGTGCCTCAACCACCTCCCTGGGCAGCCCGTTCCAATGCTGGATAACCCTGTATGTATGTATCACATCATGTTCTGAAGTTCACAGCAAGGCATATCTGGTCTCAGCACAATGCTCCGCTTTATGGCTCGTACCTTCTCTTCTTAATTCTGCAGGTCATACCCAGCTGTTTGTGTGTATTGAAGCTAGCTAGCATAATTGGAAACTCAACATCACTTTCTTTTCTTTTCTTGCAGATGGTCTTTTGGAATTCTACTGTATGAAATGATTACACTAGGTAAGAAGATTTAATGATAATAAAAAAAATTACATAAGGAAGCAGCAAATTAACAAGACTCAAAATCTCAAATTTTAGAATGTAAAGTTGGGCCATTGAAATAAGCATCCTATTTTTTCCAACTTGCAAAGTCTTGACAATTCCTTTTAGACTTTCTGCCTCAGTGTGAACTGTGGAAGGAAAAACTGGATTTTGGTAGGGAAGGAAGGCCTTCTTACACAGAAGCTGCTATCTGCAACCATTACCTTATAGTTTTTCTACTGTTACTGCTTTTGCCCTTCCAGGTGCTCCACCATATCCTGAGGTGCCACCTTCTGACATCTTACTATACCTGCAGAGACAGAACATTATGAAGCAGCCCTCAAGCTGCCAGCAAACCATGTAAGCCACTTGCTTTCTAGACAATTGAACCTGAGATCTGCAGAGTTAAAAGAAAGTGAGACATACAAAACTAGATCTTACAGAAGATCTCTAAGCCTAGACTACACAAACGAGTAACCTGGTAGTTGAGGAGACTTGTTCTCACATGTCTGCCACGTCTGCTTACTGGATTCTGCTGCATGAAACCTTGATTGCCAAAACCTCTCCTTACCACTTCTGAAAATTGCTCTTGTTTCTGTTTCCTTCTCTGCCCTTGCATTGTGTTGCTCCACTGCTTCCCTGCGAGGTGCAGAGCTATTCTGGAAAAATCTTTCTCCTCGAAGTTGCATGATTCTCCCTGAAATGAACAAAGCATCCACAGGGAAGATCTAAAGCATTATATTTGCTTTTGTGAAGACATCATTTCTTTTAATATTCAGCACCCTTTTCTTCCATAATGCTGTTTCAAAACAAAATACCAAACAATCTTTTTCCCAATTCCCATACTCACAGTTGACTTCCTAGCAGGCAGCTGCGTGTCTTTGTCCCCACGCGTTATTACGTGAGTGCAAATTTCAAAGGGCCATTGAAAGGACTTTATATGAAGCAGAAAAAGAGAAGGTGTCTAGGCATTTTAAATATGAGATGACTTGACTGTAGTACAACTTTGTGTTGGTGCTTCTCATTCCCAGTGCTTCCCTACTTCTCCATCTTACAGGTACAACATCATGAAGTCCTGCTGGCAGTGGAATGCAAATAACCGGCCTTCTCCAGCAGACCTGATCCAGGCCCTAAAAACAGCTGTGAAGACAAGCAACGACCATGCAGTACTGCAGGTTCCTGAGCTAGTGGTGCCTGAACTCTATGCTAACGTTGCTGGTGTTGATGTGCACAGTCTAGTGAGTGAGTACACTGTACTCTGAAGGACCCTTTCACGTGTTGGTAAGGGAGAAGTCTCTGAGTTTGCCTTTTCTAGACGCTTTGGAAGCTTGGAATGAGGTACATATGTTGGGAGGGATCCCTTTGTTTTTAAACACATTATATATATCAGATCTCTCCTCCGTGCCAGAAGCAACAAACTATTAAATCAACCTGTTGATGTCATTCTGCCAGTGGTCGTTTGGGAGCAAAGTGGCTTTAGGAAGCTGTAGAAAACGTAATGAGAAGCTTGAGTTAAGGGAGTATATTGGGTTTGTGTGGCAAGGTTTTGGTAGTGAGGGGGCTACAGGGGTGTCTCCTCTAAGAAGATGCCAGAAGCTTTGCCCACGTTTGATAGAGCCAGTTCCAGCTGGCTCCAGGACAGACCTGCCACTGCCCAAAGTTGAACCCATCAGCGACCTCTGTGATAACATATGTAAGAAATGGTATAAAATACTGCACAACAGCAGCTGGAAGAGAGGAGTGACAAGATGTGAGAGAAACAGCCCTGCAGACACCAAGGTCAGTAGGAGGGGGAGGAGGTACTCCGTGTGCTGGAGCAGAGATTCCCCTGCAGCCCATGTGGTGAAGACCACGGTGAAGCAGGCTGTCCCCCTGCAGCCCATGGAACAGATATCCACCTGCAGCCCTTGGAGGACCCAATGCTGGAGCCTGTCACCCTGTGTGAAGCCCCAAGCCGGAGCAGGCTCCTGGAAGGACCTGTGGTCCCATGGAGAAGAGCCCCCATTCGAGCAGGTTTGCTGGCAGGACTTATGATCCCATGGGGGATCCACGGTGGAGCAGTCTGTTCCTGAAGGCCTGGTCTTTCCATGGAAAAGACTCACACTGGAGCAGTTAGTGAAGAACTGCAGTCTGTGGGAAGAACTCATCCCCTTTGGAAAAGTTCTTTGGAAGACTGTCTCCCTGAGAGCAACCCCATGCTGAAACAAGGGAAGAGTGTGAGGAGGAAGGAGTGGAAGAGAAAACGTGTGATAAACTGACTGCAACTCCCTTTTCCCATCCTCCTGTGCTGCTGGAGGGGAGGAGGTAGAGAAAATCGGGAGTTAAGCTGAGCTGGGGAAGAACAGCTGGGAGGGGAAGGTGTTTTAAGATTTGTTATTATTTCTCATTATCCTACTCGGATTTTGATTGGCAATATATTAAATTAATTTCCCCAATCTGAGTCTGCTTTGTCTGTAATGGTGAGTGATCTCCCTGTCCTTGTCCACAAGCCTTTCGTCATATTTTCTCTCCCCTGTCCAGCTGAGGAGGGGGGAGTCACAGAGTGGCTTTGGTGGGCACCTGGCAGCCAGACAGGTTCAACCCACCACAAGGAGGTTTCTGGAAGCTCTCGCCATCTTTTGTGTCTGAGGAAACTGCATCAGTTGAGTATTCAAAAGAGGTGGCCTGGGGAATATGCTGTGGAGCACAGCTGTACAGGAAGAAGTGTATGTTGTAGGTAATATGTAGATAGCTTCTTGTCCATTCACTAGGACCTGTTTGAGACAGTTGTCTTCTTGCTTTTAAGTGTTCAAGAAGTGTCTGGGATTTCTCCAGTGCTTTATCCTCCATATTTTCCGTGGGAGAGTGGGTACTGTAATTAAAAACCAAAACCCTGCATATCTATGGATGCAGAAGTTGTTACATCTTCATGTAGAGTGTACCTTCCCTGTAGTAGCTGTGGGGTCAAGTGAGTACTCCAAGGCAAAAGGTGTGTTATCCCATGCTCATCTCAGGAAAAAGTCCTTACAGACCTGAGTTTCTCAGGGATGGTCCTTAACCAGTCATTCCTTTGAGCAAAGCAGGTGGTTTGTTCATGTGCCTCTCTTTTAAGTTGCTAATTACTGGGTTAATTATTTTGTTTTTTTTGGGACATCTGTCTGTGTTTATTGTAGCTACTATGAAAACAGTATGGAACTGTTAAGAGTACACCAGTCAGAAAGGTTGATTTACAGTAAAAACAACATATGATGAGAATAAGCATGCCTAGTGACATTGTTGTGTGATTATGGTGAGAGAGCCAACCTCATCCTGGGCTGCATCAAGAGAAGTGTGGCCAGCAGGGTGAGGGAGGGGATTCTGCCCCTCTGCTCTGCGCTCGTGAGACCCCACCTGGAACACTGTGTCCAGCTTTGGAGTCCTCAGCACAGGAAGGACATGGACCTGTTGGAACGGGTCCAGCAGAGGGCCATGAAGATGATCAGAGGGATGGAGCACCTCTGCTGTGAGGACAGGCTGAGAGAGCTGGGGTTGTTCAGCCTGGAGAAGAGAAGGCTCCAGGGAGACCTTAGAGCAGCCTCCAAATATCTGCAGGGAGCTACAGGAGAGCTGGGGAGGGACTCTTTGTCAGGGAGTGCAGTGACAGGACAAGGGGTAACAGTTTTAAATGGGAAGAGGGGAGATTTAGATTAGATGCCAGGAAGAAATTCTTTGCTGTGAGGGTGGTGAGGCACTGGAACAGGTTGCCCAGGGAAGCTGTGGCTGCCCCATCCCTGGAGGGGTTCAAGGCCAGGCTGGATGGGGCTTGGAGCAACCTGGTCTGGTGGGAAGTGTCCCTGCCCAGGGCAGGGGGGTTGGAACTAGCTGATCTTTAAGGTCCCTTCCAACTCTAACCATTCTATGATTCTATGATTCTAACTTCGATAATTTATGGAGGATATGAACTTGTGCCCAGTGAGCTGCTGAATATGAACTCAAGATTCAGCTTAAAATAATAGTGTGAGAAATTTCATGCATATAGTTTTCTCGTGAGCCTTTTATATACCATGCTTTTGATCAGTGGCTACGTTTTAATGTGAATCCCAGATGTGGTTCCGCTAAAGATTTCAATGTCTAGGGCTGTTGGGCTGGTGATTTATGTGAGTGCACGTGGTTTGTGGTTTCAGGTGATGAGTAGGCTCTGGCTGTGCCAGTGCTATTCCAGAAAAGTTAGTAGTTCCTGGGCTAAGCCTTGCCCCAGGATGGCTGAGGGGTTAAAGTCCCAGTGGAAATACACCTGTCTTCAGCGTCCGCCTGGAACAGGGGACATGCCTCTTTAATCCAAAAAGTGGGGGTTTGCCTTGTCCAGTATTTGTGTTTTATAATATAAGCTGCACAAAGCTTATCTGGAAGTATTTACTCATTAATTTTAATGAACACGCAAACTTTGTAAAAAATCAGAGGCAATTGAAGTTGTGAACACTTCTCCTTACATTTTTTTTTCCTCTTAATTATTTTGGCACTAGAGGTTCCTGTAAAAAAAAAAAAAAAGCGCATTAAAGGAATAGCTTTACTCTTCTGTGTGAAGGGTGGATTCAATGTTCATTCAGTATCCCCCCAATTAGCATGACCCTCGTTATGTATTTGAAGTTGCAGGGCATAGTCACCCACAGATTGCGGTTATATTCATTAGGTTTCAGTCTTTCATGTAGTTGAATCCCTGATAATTCCAGAACAAGTTGCAGGCCTGCAGCATGCTACGGGGCCAAAATGAGTTGTGTTAGCCATGTAGGATGCAAGGCTGAAAACGGGTGGTGTAAAAAAAAAGCTAAACGATGGGTCTTCTAAAGGGGAATATTTACCCTGAAGGAAGTCTTCAGCCATCACTTTAAATATTAAACACATATAGCTGTAAAAAGGAGCTTAGATTCTGGTTTCCATCAAAATTTATTCGTCTTTTTCTGAAGTCAATGTTAAGAAGTTGTCTCTTTTAAATGCAAAATAACGTTAACGGAATGATTGTTTTTCCTGTATCTCTTAGGCTTGGTGGGAAACCATGCTTCCATTCAGAAAAGAAAGCAATATTAATTCCTACAGCACATATATCACTGCTGCGTACTGGAACATCGCAGCCTCCATTCAAGAGTGCTCAGTTAGCTTTCTGACTTTTCTTACGGGGTTGGCTAATCATAGAATCGTATGGGGTTGGAAAGGACCTCTGGAGATCATGTAGTCCAACCCCCTGCCAAAGCAGGGCCACCCAGAGCAGGTCCCACAGGAATGTGTCCAGGTGGGTTTGAATGTCTCCAGAGAAGGAGACTCCACCACCTCCCTGGGCAGCCTCTGCCAGGGCTCTGCCACCCTCACAGGAAAGAAGTCCCTCCTCATGTTTAGGTGGATCTTCTTATATAGACCTCAAGTATTGTGTCCAGTTTTGGGCACCTCAATCCAAGAGAGATCTGGAGGTGCTGGAGCGAGTGCAGAGGAGGGCAACGAAACTAGTGAAGGGCCTGGAAGACAAATCATATGAAGAGCGGCTGAAGGAGCTGGGACTGTTTAGTTTGAGGAAGAGGAGGCTGAGGGGAGACCTCATCACTCTCTACAACTACGTGAAAGGACACTGTAGAGAGGTTGGTGCTGGTCTCTTCTCACAGGTAATTAGTGACAGAACGAGAGGGAACAGCTTCAAGCTCCAACAGGGAAGGTTTAGACCGAACATTAGGAAGGAATTTTTCACTGAAAGAGTGGTCGGGCATTGGAACAGGCTGCCCAGGGAGGGGGTGGAGTCACCATCCCTGGCTGTGTTTAAGGGACATTTAGATGGGGTACTGAGGGATATGGTGTAGGGGAGGACTTTATAGAGTAGGGGAGATGGTTGGACTTGATGATCCCAAGGGTCTCTTCCAACCTCAGTGATTCTATGATTCTATGATTCTATATTCAAGTTTGTGCCCATTTCCTCTTGTCCTGTCCCTGGACACCACTGAAAAAAGATCAGCCCCATCCTCCTGACACCCTCCCTTTAAGTATTTGTACACATTAATTAGATCTCCCCTCAGCCTTCTCTTCTCCAGACTAAAAAGACCCAAGTCCCTCAGCCTCTCCTCATAAGAGAGATGCTCCAGGCCCCTCATCATCTTTGTGGCCCTCTGCTGTCCCCTCTCCAGCAGTTCCCTGTCCTTCTGGAACTGGGGAGCCCAGAACTGGTCCCAGTGCTCCAGATGGGGCCTCCCCAGGGCAGAGCAGAGGGGCAGGATGACCTCTCTGAATCTGCTGGTCACACTCTTCTTGATGCATCCCAGGATGCCATTGGGTTTCTTGGCCACAGGGGCACATTGTTGGCTCATGGTCATCCTGTTGTCCACCAGGACTCCTTATCGCCACCTTAATGTCCAGAACCACCCTTGGTGTAAATCTGGCTTGAAGAATTGAAACGTACACTTTTCAGAACACTTAAATAATAACACCCTCTTCTCTCTCCCTCACTTGAAAACAGGCTCAAATTTAGGTCAAATTCAAATTTACCAGCCAGCCAATTTTTTTTTTCTCTTTTTTTTTTTTTTCTTTTTTTTTTTTTTTTTCTCTTTTTGCTGAATAAACTCTTCATTAAAAAAAACCCAGACATCTGCTTGGTTCAAACCTCCCACCCAAGAAGGGGACGTTCTGAAAGGTCTCACCCACGAAAGGCGGGTGCGTTGCAGCTCCGTAACGTGATCCCACAGCCCTGGCCTGAGGAACAACGCGCCGTGCTGCGACACAGGGAGCTTTGTTAAACGAGGAGATAAAAGTGACAAAAGCAGCACTGTTCTCAAAGCTCCCTATCTTGTTGCATCGCAGAAAGCGCTGTCCTGCTTTACACCGAGCCCCGTATTTTGTTTCTGTTACCAAAGCTCTGATCCAGGGCATCCATGGGGATTTCAGGATGCTGAGCCCCTCACGGCCTCTAAGAAAAGATCTGCTTCAGTTTGCCCTGAGAGCGAACCCGTGCCAAGACCCTGCGTATGAATTTGTCCACAGAAGGACATTTTCCTGCTATATGATAGGGTCTAAGTTTAATTTCATTTCAATGAAATGGCTTGATTCTCAGCGTGGGCATTCTCACTCTGGTTTGACTGCTGTTTCCCTAGGTTAGCTTACATAGATTTGGAAGTGGCTGGATCAAAATCAGATTAAATTTTATAGTGGCACAAAAGGAACTATATGTGCGGAGTTACCCTAGTTTAACTTCACCTCAGGCTAATTAAAGTAGTCTATACAGAGCTTTTCCGCGTGGCAGTGTCCCTAAATTTTTAGGATCAGTGCAGGCTCATGCATGAATTCTTCCTTAGTGAAACCACTGGGAGCCTGTGGAAATGTTTCCTGGTTGTATTCTGGGGAAGCCTGGGGTTTCAGCGAAAGGCTTTGTTTTATTTGTTTAATTGGAGTATCCTGTTCCCAGGAAAAAATGTTGA